CTGTCCAATCGATATGGGACTGAAACATATACAAGCCTGCTGAGCTGACAGTGGCCGTGTGCAAAAGCTGTGGAAGGCGACCGCTGTGCAGTTTCTTTGTGACACTAGGTTGTGTTACTTATAGAGAGTGTGGTTTAGTGAATTAAACATATCTATCTTCCTTTGTGTAGCCTGTATATGCATGTTTTTATGTCTCAGGGGTTGAAATGATTTTTTTTTTTTTGTAATAAATTACAATAAATTACTTAATTTTTTTGTAAGTAATCAAGGTAATTATACATTTGTAAACAATATTTTACTTCATTTTTAATTTAATTATATTATGCATGTGAAAAATATTAAATTTTTTGTATTTAGGGCATATAAGAAATAAGCTATGACATTAACCAAGGAAGTTGCCATTTTATTTCCGCAAGTGTTTAAAAGGTCATTTTCATCTCAGAATGCCTGCATCCATAATTCCGAGTGTAATGTAAATGCCGTTATAGTGAACATTTTGATGAAATTGCAATGAAAGATGCTTGTGGGCTTACATTGTTAGTAGAGTAACACTCGTGAGAGTGTTAACGGTGAGTTTACTTTCTTAAAGTCCACAGGGCCAAAGTTACAATAGTTGAAGAAACTTAAAGAATCTTTTTCCACAATCTCTTCTTTTACTAAAAACTCTTAACCCCTCACAGAAAGCCAATTTAATGTTTAAGTCTTTTGAGGGCCATGCACAATAATTGGTGTCAGTGTTGCAGATTCCCTAACCCAGGGTGATTTGTACCTCTCGGTTGAAAGGCGAAAAATCCTCTGAGGTTCAAATGGCCCTGGATGCTGCTGACAAGTTTCGTTAATTAACTCGCAACCTCTTCATTTGCTGCATCTTCGTTTTGCCTACATGCTTCAGAGGTCAAGGCCAGCATTCAGAAATAATAGTTATGTGGGTTGCTTTGAATCTGAGTGATGTCATTGCAGCGTCCTCCCTTTCGTCAGTTTCTCTTTGTTTCTCTCTTCATCTCCCTCCTCTTCTCATGCCCTGTCCTCCCTCCATCTCCTGCTGCCCTCCTCTCTGGCACACACCCGCTGTAATGTATGGAGCACCTCCGAATGACTGGAATTAAGGGCCCTGACCTTTAGTGGGTGATGATTACCCATGCAATGTAGTCCACCCCCTCGCTCATGTGGGCCTGAATCCCACAGGCAGTGATGGCAGTGACTACTGATTTTTTTTTTTTTTTACTGTAAACTCTCTGAAATATAGTTTTTTGGCCAGGGTTTGTTTCAGCCCTGCGGTAGCATCACCTTGTTGATTTGCATTTGTATTTATTGAACAGTGAAGGCTGCTTTGTGATTTTTAGCCTTTTACTTAAGATATGTAGATTTCAAAGCTTACTATTCTATTATGGAAATTTTGGTTCGGCAAATTTACGTTTTGCCGAACCTTAATATTCTGGTGTGTATTTCCGTCTCCATTCCTGCTCCAAAATATATAAATAAAAATACAAAATATCCTTTTTTATGTGTATATATTAGGGCTGTCAAACGATTAATTGCGATTTAATCGCATCCAAAATAAAAGTTTGTGTTTACATGATATATGTGGGTGCACTGTGTATAATTATTTTGTATATATATATAAATATACACGCATGCATGTATATTTAAGAAAAAAATATTATTTAGATAGGTTTATATTTGTATATAATATAAATTATATATAAATCTATATACAGTATGAAAATATTTCTTAATATATACAGAATGTGTGTGTATTTATATATATATATATATATATAAATAAATAAAATAATTATACACAGTGCACCCACATATATTATGTAAACACTAACTTTTATTTTGGATGCAATTAATTGTGATTAATCGTTTGACAGCCATATCAGTGTAATATAAAATGTATATTATATTTTAAAAAGGTGTGTGTGTAGTAATATAGTAGAACAAATATAGTAGAACAAAGATACAAATAAAAGAAACAGTGCTTTTCCATTTTTTTAAGGTAGGTTCACTTAAGACATAACCTACAATGTATGCTAAGATACTTACCAACTCAATTTAGTATTCACATTGTCTTTGGCTTTCCATGCGTGTACTTTATCCAGGTTATTGTTAGAGAGCGAGCGGCCATGTAACGTTAGGCTACCATTTACGTTTCAAATCAAGTCCGGCCAACTATCAGGGGGCATCTCTAATCCATTGTATTTATTGACAGACTAGATCTTTTTTTTTTTTTTAAATAATCATATAAATTCTAATTTAAAGTCTTGATGTTGATTATTAAAGATCTTTATTGTCTCCCTCCCTTTTTTGTCACTCCCACCCTTTCTGAACAGAATCTGTTGGTGAATCACGGATAGAGAGTCGTTCACCTCGGCAGCAGCGCCACCTTTACCCGTCTCTCCCATTCATCTGTATGTTGGGTTTCACGGGACGCTTCTTCTTAAGCCTCTCCATCCAATTACCATCTGATCCCAGGGCTCGGAGTCGCACTCCAGTGTTCTGAACAAGCTACATATTACAGGCCACTATGAGTATTCCATTATCTGTAACCGCGCAGAGAATGGGATCACCGAAATGCAAGGCTTGATTTTTATAAGAGTACACTCAGGAAATCCTGATGCTTTTATTTGTCAGGATTTTATTTATGCATTGTATTTCGGCAAAAACATATCTTCATAAATTGATAACTGCCCAAAGCTGGTCATGTCTCTGTCTTTTATTGTCCTTCAAATATGGCCAACTTGAGATCAGAGTCTGCACCTAAATCAATCTATTAGGGAATTCATTTCTGATTTATTCCTCATAAAAAATTTGGTCGTTAAAGGCATAGTACATAGTACAAAGTCATTTTTTTTTTTTGGACATGAAAGGACAATTAAAAGAGTCTTTATGCATCTCTTTACTGAACAACAACTGTTGTAAAGCTTCTAAAAAGACAAATATTTTATATTAAATGTAATATAATAATGTAATCATACTAACAATAATAAATATCAATAAGCTATAGGGACTATTCAGAAAAACTACCTAACTACAGTGGACTTTTACAATAATATTGATAATGGTTATTTGTTATAATTTTCTAATAATGTATTGTGATTTAATATTAATGATATGTAATGATAACAGTATAATATAGTAATAATTTCAACAATAACTGATTAGAATTATTTAACATATTAAATTTCAAATACTAAAGTTATATTATATAAAATAAAAATAAATAAATATTGAATATTAATTTCGGGGTGAACTATGTTTGAAAATGGATAAAATATTGTGGTGTGATTGAAATGATTCGCTTATGGAAGAGAGATGAAGACGTGATTGATCTGCGAGTAGTGACAAGGTTTCGATGTCATACACACACAGACAATCTAGCTCAATTTGTAGCTTTTGACATGGCCGGGTCTCCCATGTGAGCTCAGGCAATTATGGTGAGATGGCAACACACAAACAACCCTCAATTATCCAGCTGACACACACTGCATCTCGACATCGGTTCAGATGCGCACACGCACCGTGTCAGAATATACACACCTCTCTGTCAAGCCTAATAAGGTTCTCAGTCCATGCTAGCAGGATTGACTTGGGAAATACCTTGTTAAGGATACAGCCGAGCCGAGGCTGCGTGTGTGTGTGTACAGTGTGTGTGGCTGGTGTGAAGGGCAAATTGATGTTTGAATCAAAACTCACCTTTTCTTAACTGTAAAAGGAGGGTGTTGAAACTTAATTTTTTCAAATCTTGAAACAAATTGCTTATGACCACTGGCCGTTCTGTGCTTCTTACAGCCGGTCCAATGCACCACCCACCACTTATCTTTAAACAGAAATACTTTGACACACAGTTATGCTTTAGAAAAATAAACTGCTTGTAATAAGACAAGGTGCTAACATGTACAAATGTTCGTCCTGTAGAAACCTCTAGCACAGGCTCTTCAGACAGCGATCACACAGTCGGCAGAAGTGTGTCGAGGACAAGATGGCAGGCGATAGCAGGAGCGAGGGAAGGGCCAAAGGTTAACATAAGTGCTCCATCATACACCAATGAGGTCTGACAGCTCACCATACACAGCTCACATTAAAGAAAGAGGATTTCTAATCTTATACACAGTGACACACAGTCACATATGCACTGATAAGCTCTAAAAAATGCAAACAAAAACTAATGAATACATACTTTGGGGAAACATGGGGACCATCCAACTGTCTGTGTAAGCTTGTAAAAAATGGTTGTTACTAGACCTGTAAGTAAAATAGAATTAACTTCCATACTATATACGCTATATATATATATATATATATATATATGAAGAGTTCAGATGCAAAAGCCTCTAAATGCCATTTGAAATTTTTTTCTAAAATGACCATTTTTATCAAGCTTGTATATAGTGAAATTACTGAAATTAAATATACAAGCTTGATAAAAATGATCATTTTAGAAGAAAATTTCAAATGGCACTTAGAGGCTTTTGCATCTGAACTCTTCATATATATATATATATATATATATATACATATATATATATATATAGATTCTGTTTTGATGTATGCAAATCCTCACTTAAAGAAAAAAAAAAGTACCGTAGGCTTCTTTAATTGTATTTTACTTGTAGGGGATATTGTATTATTTTTGAGCATTATAAAAGAAATATAATTGTTTTTAATATTTTTAGGTTTTTTATTTGGTTGTAGTGGATTTGTATTCTAAAATTGTAATATATATATATATATATATATATATATATTAGGGCTGTGCAAAGATTAATTGTGATTAATTACATCCAAATAAAACTTTGTGTTTACATATTATATGTGTGTTTGTGTTTACATAATATATATATTATATATGAATAACACATTTTCTTAAAATATACATAGTGTTTGTGTATTTATACAAAATAATTATACACAGCACACACACATATATTATGTAAACAAACTTTTATTTTGGAAGTGATTAATCGCAATTAATCTTTATATATGTATATGTTTGTGTGTGTGTGTATTTATTATCTGCTGTGAATGAAACTCTGCAAGTCCTCAACTTTCAAGCCATTATTTTCACCATTTTAGGTAAGTATATTTATACATCTATATGCACTAAAGTAAAAAATATATATATATTTTTTAGTGAGATCTATATTTCTTCACCTGTACTGCTGCTCTTTTGAATCATTCGGAACATTTTTCTGAAATGAGGCAGAATAGAGTCTGCATTGAAATATACAACAGCATTGAGCATATTTAATCACTAAGTGAACACGCAGCCTTTGTCAGTGCTAGCTGAAAGAATACCATTTTTATCCTCGGCTCTCCCTCAGTGTCCATCCCACAGTCCCCGTTGATCCACTCTCTCTCTCTCCCAGCTCAATCTCTGTCCTTCCCGAGCATGTGCCCCTGACATTTGAATTGTGCTAACAGCCGCCCCCTTTGGGCAAACAGCGGCTGGCTGAGGTTTTCGAGCGTGCTGTTATTACCATCATGTTGTGCGCACCGTCGCTGTGCTGCTCTCCCTCCTCCAGGGCTCGACCTGCACTGGCGCACATGGGCTCCCTGCACTGGAGCCGCAGCACAACACGGATTTAGAGAAATATATAAACACACCTAGCTGACATTACATTACCATACACTCTCACACTCGCACATGCACTCAGAGCTGACATTTATCTTCAAATACCATGACACCCTCTCTCTTTTATTAGATCCCCTCACTGTGCAAAGATGAGAGTAATTAGAGAGGAACAGCCCTCGCTCTCTTCCGTCCCTTTTTATTGCTTTTCACTCATCTCCTTTCTGTGAGAGTGAGAGATCCTGTGGCATACAATGCCGTAATATACCCCCACAGGAGCCCTGCTGAGGCTGTGCTGTTTTGGAAGAGGGGGGACGGGTCTCACACTGTCAACCGGTTACAGTTGACAGGCTTTTAAGTTTTTCAACCGAATTGGATGGCAACTTTTGACTCTTACTCAAGACTAGATAGAGATTCTTGGACTTTTGTTGCTGGATTTACTCTTTATTACTTACAGTATGGTCCAGAAGTCTGAGAACACATTGAAAGTAGAATTCAAAATCTAATTTAAATATAAAAATAAGAAAATTGTAATATTGAAGATGGGTGTTCACACTCAAATATATGTATTTATATATTATATATGTATTTGCTAGTCGGGGATATTGTATTCTTTTTGAGTATCGATAATATATACACACAAATATATATATATATACAAGTATATATATATATTCTCAACTTGGGTCAATAGTTGTACAAACGTTTTCACGTTAAATAGTTGAATTGACTTTAAAAACCGAATTTGTCAAACATAATTTTTTTTTTATATACAGTATATATAATTGCCTGCAGTTTTGGAAGTGAAAAGTTATAAGTAACATTTTGTTTTGTTTTAACGTAGTAAAGTATTAAACAACTTTATGAGGTTACACTGACTTTTTAAATAATTAAAATGCATTTGTTCCCTGTTTATTCAGTATTTATTAAGTTTAGTGACAAATAGAAATGTGAAAACCTCTCTGTATATAATATAGTCATTTTCATAATGTAGTAAAGTCTATACGTAATGTGCTTAAGGGGAAAAAATTCTTTCTGAGATTAGTTTAAACAGAAACTCTGTGCCACCACCAACATTTCTGTAAAGATGCAATACAGAGTATTACCTGTACTAATACCAGCTCTGCCCCACTTCCAGCCCTATACTATAGTATCAGCAGTTCTGATGCGACTTTGGTAAATGAAATGCCACATTAAAGCCGTATGAATATGAGAAACTCATTTTTTATAAGCTGTCAAGAATGTGGCTTTGCAGATAACATTCAAACGTTGCAGAGTAAATACTGCTCTAGAATAATATTTGATATGTGGTACTGATTGTTTAGGTCAATCAATTGATTGTTTAGAAAAATCAAGCTCAGTAGCTGTTAATTCACCATAAAGGCACTAGCACCCCATAAAGCATTGCTGACAACTGCACCTCTCATTCTAAATTAACTTAGCATTTGGATACTCGTATGTTAGGATTACATCTCTAAGAGCCTCATTTTAGTTCCCAAAGCCATAAGTCACACTCACAGGTTGGTAGTTTCAGTGCCTGCCTGTTCCAAAAAAATCCGAGCGGTCCCGTCAGATGGGCCTGTTAAGTGGGCTTTACTTGTAATGCCCCTCTTATTGCCTTCATCACCATGCTACAGTGGCTTTATTTGCTCTGCTAAACTTTCTCATGGCCTTTTAATGCTAGTGGAATTGATTATTAACTGCTGTGACCATTCAAGCATAGCCGTCGATTTTGATGGGGACGGTGGGTTCCCGTCCCCACCAGATTTCTTCATGTTCCCACCACTTTTGGAAACATTGAGGCACGGCTGTACCTAATACAAATAAAACATCCCCAGTTAACTAGCAGAGCATTTATTTAGTTTGCTCTTAAATAAGAGATCTAGCGCTAAAATGTTTTGTTTTTGAACTCCAGCTCAGGAGATGGTCCTCACTAAAGAACATGAAATCCACGGGGAGGAGTCAGATCCAGATCCAACTCCTCCCACCTTATATATACCTAAACCAACCCAGCTCCACCCCCTTATCCCTAAACCTACCCAGCTGCATCCCCTGATCCCAAAACACAACCCTAAACCTACCCAGCTACACCCCTGATCCCTAAACCCACCCCTAAACCAACCCAGCTCCACCCCCTGATCCCTAAACCTAACCAGCTCCACCCCTGATCTCTAAACCCACCCCTAAACCTACCCAGCTCCACTCCTTGATCCCTAAACCCACCCCTAAACCTAACCAGCTCCAACCCCTGATCCCTAATCCCACCTCTAAACCTACCCAGCTCCACCCCTGATCCCTAAACCCACCCCTAAACCTACCCAGCTCCACCCCCTGATCCTTAAACCCACCCCTAAACTTACCCAGCTCCACCCCCTGATCCCAAAACCCACCCCTAAACCTACCCAGCTCCACCCCCTGATCCCTAAACCTACCCAGCTTCACCCCCTGATCCCTAAACCCACCCCTAAACCTAACCAGCTCCAACCCTGATCCCTAATCCCACCTCTAAACCTACCCAGCTCCACCCCTGATCCCTAAACCCACCCCTAAACCTACCCAGCTCCACCCCCTGATCCTTAAACCCACCCCTAAACTTACCCAGCTCCACCCCCTGATCCCAAAACCCACCCCTAAACCTACCCAGCTCCACCCCCTGATCCCTAAACCTACCCAGCTTCACCCCCTGATCCTTAAACCCACCCCTAAACCTACCCAGCTCCACCCCCTGATCCTTAAACCCACCCCTAAACTTACCCAGCTCCACCCCCTGATCCTTAAACCCACCCCTAAACCTATCCAGCTCCACCCCCTGATCCCTAAACCTACCCAGCTTCACCCCCTGATCCTTAAACCCACCCCTAAACTTACCCAGCTCCACCCCCTGATCCCAAAACCCACCCCTAAACTTACCCAGCTCCACCCCCTGATCCTTAAACCCACCCCTAAACTTACTCAGCTCCACCCCCTGATCCTAAAACCCACCCCTAAACCTACCCAACTCCACCCCTCAGATCTGGATCCGACTCCACCCCCTGGATCTTGTGTACTGCAATGAGGCACTACTGTAGCTGAGAGCTTGTGTCCGCTGCTATCAGTGTCATTGATACAGTGTTCGCTTGTGGCGCGCACAGTCTTCACTCGGACGCGCTCTTCAATCTATTGCAGTTGCAACTCTATTCATTCCTGTGAAATCACAAAACAAAATGCACACAAATGTGTCCCTGCTTGATATAGACTGTAACCACTGATGAACATATTCAGTTTGATGAGAGAGAAAAAAACTATACCGAGGACGGATTAGAACCTGTAACCTATTCTACCACTAGACCACTGAAGAACTCCTAATTAGCGGATCGATGCGTTTATGTACGGGCTGAGCAGATAGGCTGCACAGTTTGACAAGTTTGTACCCAGCACTTCTGAAAATGCACTTCCTAATGCGTCTCTGTCCACAGCACATTTCAAACCAAACTGTGCATCCAAGGTTCTCCAGTTCTCAGGTGTGGTGGATTTTCAACCATGTGCTGTTGGGTAAGAGCTCAGGTGAGTCATTGCATTGGTCATGGCTTGTAATCATTTAGAAGAGCCAATAGTGCATTAAGCTAAACAGTTGTGGATTCAAACCCTTAAGTCTTTAATTTGTCGGCAATATGACCATGATCAAGACACTTAAGGTCAACATGGCATTCACCTCCCATTTTATATTTGGAATGACATTTCTGAGGGAAACTGAATATTTGGAAGTTTTATCTGGAATCCTTTGGATTGTGAAAAGTAAGCTTTCCATACCAGGAATGGGGTCACCGCCACCCACGTTGCTCAAGCTCAGTGAAGTTCACCCTTACCAATGATAAAAGTTTTCTATTATTGTTGTAGCATTTATGTTGACTGCAATTGAATGACATTTGAAAAAACGAAACATTGGTAATACTCAATTATAAGCTTTTATGTGTCTTGAAAAGGATGCTTGCTAAATGAGACTACAGAGGTTGTCTGGGACATTAAACACCAGACTATATTCGAACTCAAACTTTCCAACTTGATGATTTTAAATAAAGACCAAAGAGTTGTCAGAAGCATAATGGCGGTGGTGTTCGTTTAGGCAATATCCTAACATGTATAACATTCTACATGCCTATATAAAAATTTGCCATAACAAATGTGTTGAGCGTCAGTGAAGAGAAACTATATATACATTTGCCATAACAAATTAGGCCTAAAGGCGAGATAAAGAATATAAAATAAGACTAGGCTACATTGATTGAGATATTTGCTTGTTTACAGCTTGTAGAACTACAGAACTAAACTTAGAAACTTTATTCTGAACTTTAGGAAAGCAATGAATTCAGTCCCACATTGACATCCTATGGCACCCGAAGTAATAGGACGTTTGACAGGCAGGTTTCAATTAGCGTGACTGCACGTCTTGTATCTTTTAATAAGAAATCCGCCACTGCTGTGAGGGGAGAAAAAGCTTCAATGTTCTCCGCTGCATCTTAATAAAAATATATAAAAAAAAGAGAGGAAGGACTGTGTTTCCACAGCAACTGGCACCTGAGTAACGAACGGCGGAGACGTGCTTGAAAGCATCAGGTTAGAAAATGACATCTTTGCATCCTGACGTGTCCGCATTGATCCCGTGTCATACCCAATTACAGCGCGTGCTGTCGTACAGGCGCGTGTTATTCAGCACAAGAGCGCCTCTTAAACGAACACACGCTGTCGCACTTCTTCTCAGGCTCAGGAAGAAGTTTTAATGAACACCTGCCCGATCCCCTTTCTTTACCACCTTTCCATGCACTTCGCGTGTTTACCATAGCGAAAAAAGCGACGTCGAAACTCGGATGCGTCGAGAGTGGCGGTTACCTATGATTGGCAGCGTTTGATACTGATAAATCTCTCTTTAATCTTTAAATATACAACGTATTTATCTTTCATTATGACAAGGAAATGATCAATACTCCCTCTAGATCTGATTCTTCATCCTAGTTCAACACTTTGAGGGTTATTTATTCATGTTTTATGCCTGGTCGGATATGTATAATCACAGTTTGAGAGGAATCAATATTTTCTTTTCTTCTGAGAGAAGACGAAATACATACCAGATTTTCTCCTGAGGTTTTAGTGTAATCTTTCACTCTTGTGTTGACTGTCTTGTCCCACTGCTGCACTTGTTTCTAGGAGCAGTCAGCATTTGAAGTGCTCTACAGAACATGTTTGATACACTCACAAACTCTGGCCTCACGTTAAGCACTTACACGCCACGAGCGATACGACCTGACGGAAACAACCCATGAAATCTCAGGTAGGTGCTTGATTCCGCCTGAAATGTGTACTTAGCCCTAGCGCGGCGAAGAGATCCGTTTGAGCACCACACAGTCAGCTCCTCTTTTACTCAGCCTCTTTCAACTGCCTGAACCCATTTTCTGCTTGTTTCGTTTCAGAGTCTCCTCACCGGGGGAACACGGCCGACAATAGACCCTAATTAAAGCGTGCTGTGGGCTGACAGAGCCCATTCTTCTCCACTGCGTCCCGTTTAAACTGGGCCTCCCTTCCTGTGCCATCCACACCCACCTCACTCCACTAATTTCAAGTGGAACCGTGAAGGCTTAATGGAAGGCCTCGGATGACAGGAAGTCAACGCGACCTGGTGGGTCTCACGAATAGTTTCTTTTGCGTTTTCCTTTCATGTTACAGCTCACAGTTCTATGCAATTTATTTAATTCAATATTTTCAATTTAGAGTGGTTGTCAGATTCCATTGGAGGCCCTTGGCAGTCTGAAACCCGCAGGAACTGGATCCCGGACCAAAATCCATCCCTGGCTTTGTGTTTCTGTGAGTCAAATGCATTAAAACAATTCTTGATAACTAGGGGAAAAAAGATTGAATTTCCACCACACAACATCTATTGATTTTGTCAGACCATATTTCATAAGCAAAACAAGCAGCTGGATTTGGAAACTCGGTTTGTAATCAAACTGGGCAAAACAAACATCTTATCCTTAATGAAAAGAGTGGGAGGAATGCCAGCTAGACCATTACCAAAGCTCCGCTGAAGCCCTTAGAAGTACTTCACAAAATAGTCTGACAGATGGGCCACAGCTCACTACCAACCCACAAAACCACCTTGGTTTTGGTTTGGTCAGACATAAACCCCACCGCATAATGTGGAAATCACAGGCTCACAGCCAGACCACATAACATATCTAAGCCTGTCCAAATGTCCAATCTGGGGATATTATCTAATGGACACTTCCGTGACCACTTCAAACCTGGGAGTAATTCTAGCAGCTGTGTTGGCTTTGATGGTGACTGGGCTGGGCTGCATTAACAATAGGGCTAGGTGGGGCTGAAGCCTCAGGTAGGGGGCTGTATTTGTCTTTGGAGTAGATTGACAAGGCCATTGGGAGCACCTGCACTTTTCCTGGTGGAAACACCACTCCCCCACATATTAAAGTAGTAGTTCACTTTAAAAAAAAAACTTTGGCTGATAATTTACTCACCCCCATGTCATCCAAGATGTCCGTGTCATTCTTTCTTCAGTCGAAAAGAAATTAAGTTTTTTGATGAAAACATTCCAGGATTTTTCTCCATATGCACTTCCAAACGGTTCAAGGTCCAAAAGACAGTTTCAGTGCAGTTTCATGTCGACTTTGAACAGTTTGCAGTTTGAACTGAAACTGTCTTTTGCACCTTGAACCATTTGGTGGCCAATAAAGTGCAGAAAAATCCTGGAATGTTTTCATCAAAAACCTTAATTTCTTTTCGACTGAAGAAAGAAAGACATGGATATCTTGGATGACATGGGGGTGAGTAAATTATCAGCAAAAGTTTTTCAAAAGTGAACTAAAGAATTTGTTTTACACAGAAGAAAAATCACAGGTTTGGAACGGCATGTGAGTGTGGAAACACTGTTTATAAAGAGCAGGTGAGGTAACTAGAAATGTGTTTCTAGCTGGTGTATGTCTATTGAAAATTTAAGACAGACATTGTTAATAAAACTGTCAAAACTCGGAGGAAACCATCAAAAGCAAAAGTAATTAGACACAATGGAAGACTGTGTTATTCGATTTTTCTTTTATTACTGTTATTATCTTTTGTCAATGACGAATTTGTCTCTGCAATCCGGTAGAACTAATCGAAGGTAAATAAACACTGCACTTGTTAAACTCAAGGAGATATTAGCACTGCTTGGTTTATCCTGACTCGAGAGTTCATTTTTGTACATGTAAGGCTGGATTTGTCTTGAAAGGCACTGCAGGACAACTAGAAATCCAGTGTTTCCTTGCACTGGTATTATAACAGCTTGAGGCTGTGTATCCATGCACTGGGAAAGCTCATTTCAAACACTCGAGAGTTGCTGAAAAAAATGACCCGGCACATCCTGGTAACTCTTCACATGAATGAAAACATCTGTCAGAGCCTTCTTGCTGTGCAGAGACAGAAAATCGCCCGTAGGGTTTTTCTAAAGGCCTTGAGGCTAGATATCTAGACAACCAGCATCAACGTGCTGTTCCACAGATGTAGTTTACTTCCAACATCACTTGAGTAATGAATGCGCAGAAATGTCCAACCTGTGGCAACCCTCGTTTGATGAGACTTTAGTCAATATGTGTCTTTCCTAGGGTAGATAATCATCTTTTGGAAGATACTCATAGGTTTTCCATAACCTAGTGAGCTAGACAGTATCGTAGCAAAGTGAAAGCTATGATGTGGATGTTATTCTAAGAGGTACGCAGAAAAAAAAATCATGTTGCCTTCTGAATCAATTTTTTGTAATGTTTTTGTTCTTTTGTTCACCAAGGCTGCAAAAGTATTGTGAAAAATTATTACGATTTAAAATAACTTTTTGAAATAATGTATTCCTGTGATGCAAAGCTGAATTTTCAGCATCATTACTCCACACTCTTAGAAAAAAGGGTTCATTGGGGTTCTATATATGAAGCATAGGGTTCACCTTTTATGCAAAAAAAGGTTCTATAATGACAAGAAAGAACCCTTTTGTCACAAAAGGTTCTTTATAGGCTATTATTCATTCATATATTCCATTATTTTGCAACATTTTGTAGTTGTTTATTAAACTGTTGTAGTAATTAATATCACATTTTAATCATGCTGATTTTTGGAGGAGAAAAACTGAAATGGTACTCTTCGTGTGATATTGATTAACTACATAAAATGATATAAATATATACATTTTCTAACCCCCATATCTGGAATTTTGTGATCATTCACATGCATTCATAAATACATTTTGTAACTTGATGTTTGTCAATAATATGAAATATTTAATCCGGAAAGAACAAAACAAATGATAATGAATGAACCCAAAAGGTTCAATATAGAACCTTTTTCCTGGTTACAAAGGTTTTGTATAGAACCTTTTAGGGGTTCCAAATACATAGCGCTGATAGAACCTTTTAACCTTTTCTTCTAAGAGTGCAGTTTTCAGTGTCACATGATCCTTCAGAAATCATATGTTTATTTGGTGCTCTGGGAATATATATATATATATATATATATATATATATATATATATATATATATATATATATATATATATATATATATATCATCAATGTTATTATTAACAGTGTTTTTTTCAAGATTATTTGATGTATATTAAAAAAAATATATAGAACAGAATATGTTGCAAGCCAGACTCAAACTTGTACCACAACTCCAGTTGTCCAGACCATACAGGTCATGAGTGTGACCTCATTGTCTTGTTTTAAAATGTATAATAACTAAACATTGCCATATCACAAGAGATTGAAAACTTGTGACAAAATGTGACCTATTGGTTCGACATGGCTATACGGCTCACTGATTTCATTTCCTGTACATTTTTAATAACAACATGCCCAATCAGAGGCCTGTGGACTGTTAGTTCAGGGCCAAATATTCTGGTTAAATGGAGCAGAATGATTAGCAATGTTCTCACAGGTCGCTCGATGCTGTGTGCAGGTCAGTGAGGAGATGTGTAAGGGCGGATCAGTTTCCCAGACAGCTGCCGTTTGATTGGTTAACTGCCTCTAATAATTTGGAAATATGATTTCAGGTACAGTATACTTTCACGCACAGGCAACAATATGAAGTGTCTGTAAGCCG